AGCCCGAGAGCCTTCTAGAGAGTAAACAAAGCGAGTCAATAATTTCTTCATTCTGGATCTTACCTCTATCACCAAAATTATCAGACAATGGGAGAGAAGGCGGAAACTAACGAATTCAAGGAGAGACTATGGTATTGAGCAGCGTGAGTCATATGTTAACCATACACTTCCTCTTGGCGATGCTACTTCCATATCATGCCAACTATAAGAAGAGCAGACAGACGGAGGAACGAAAGGAGGAAGAGAATGGATAGATATCGAAACGGTGATCACATCGATGCAACTCGTTGGTAGATGTTCGATGAATGCTTCGTCAACCCAACCCTGATTACTCTAAACCAAGAGAAAAAGAGAAGAGCACACGAACCGAGAGAGGGAGAGATCCCACCGATGAAACTCGAGGGCGTGAAGAAAGTCGTGTTCGTAGAAGTAGGCGTTACCCAGTTGGCTGTATATGGCGGAGAGGACGGTAATGTCATCAGTACCTACGGCAAGGGCCTGGCGGAAAAGGCGGATGGCCGTCTGATAGTCGCGTGTCGTCTTGCACACCCGCTCCGCCTCCAGTGCCAACTCGAGGCAGCTTCGTGGGCTGGAGGACTTTCGTGAGACCTCTTTGAAAGTCATCCCTCTTCCTTCTACCTCAAAAAAGGCAAAGCACATGCGACTACGAATGCAAATCTTAAGATTTACGAAATAATAAATGTAACTCGGCTCCATGTAAGTAATAGGGTCGCCTTAAGGGTAATGCATTTTCCTCCCACCCTAGAGCAAAAGGGATTTCTTGAAGTAAGCAGAGTAGTTGAAGCACGTCATGGAACCCAATCAAGTCCACCTAACTCCAAATGATTCGAAAGACTTCAAGGGTCATTGTCCTTACGGAGTACGATCGGCATGAGGAGTGCGTCAGCTTTAGAACGCCGCCCCAACACTATATCCGGTAAAAATAGGCGTTTTATTTAACAAAGTCACTGTGCATCACTAAGATGTTACAGAGAAAAGTTCAGTTTGTAATTACTGAAAGAAAACCAAACATTATGAATCTCGCTAAACTCCAAAAATAACCAAACAGCGTGACTCACTAAAACGCGCAAGCAGCAGTTTATTTTCGCCTCCGGGAAAATCAAAATGAGGAGTATCAATCAACGCTAAGCGACCCACCGGCAAAACTAAACCTACAATTCGTTCCTCTAGTGACGAAACGTAGATTCAAAAAGACTAGATTTTTTTCTCTACGATGGATGGGCGAACTGTCTCAGGCAATTTCGATGAAAGGAGATACCAAGCGCCTAGGCTGTCAAACATTAATTCCAATTGATTCTCCAACCAAGTGATGTCTGCCAAATTAAAACTGAATGTTGCTTTCCCTTGCTAATAGATAAATTGACGTAAGGAAGATCACTAAAACCCAAAACTGCATTACTACTATGAAAGCTGATAACTCAAAACAGATCGCACAAGGCGCGTTCCCGCCGCAATTTCTCCTCGTGAATCATGACAGGTGGTTTGTTTCCTTCGAACGATAGTAGAAGAGGCTCCCATGAGTTGCATCTGATATATGACAGCGTCTCAGTATTACTGCTCAATCGGAACATAGGCAAAATATAATCATCATTTGGCAGGTATGAATATGATGACGCCCCACTCCTTTAAGTGTGGATTAGGCGCAGGAAATGCCAATATATGCTGAGTGATAGAGAACCTGACTATTGACAAGATAAAGACCAAGGAAAACCAGCTGAAAAAATGCGATTTAAAATGGGTGAGCAAAATGATTTGGATGTGAGGTCTAGTCAACTTCAGCGAAAATAACACCAAAACTGCTTTCACAAGCTGCAATGAGAATGCAAGGGATGAGCCTGATATGGACCGCAGGAATAGTACTGCCTCGATCAAATGAATTCAAATAACATACATGCGATAAACGCTGTACTTCTCTAACATATAAATTAGCATGACAAATAGCATTGAATTCAAAGGAATGCACTGAACATTTACATCGCCAAATGGAGGTCGAAAATAACTCGGATAAAAATACCATATAACTATAGTGCACACAATGCATAAATAAATACACGTAGCGAAGAAAGACGAAAAAGTAAGAAACGTCGATGAGCGTGAAGAGACTGGTTTCATAATGGCAATTTCTATTTATTACAGGACAACGCAGCATAATGAACTCAGAACATTTGGGGATCAGACCGTGAAAACAACTAGGGAGCACGAATGCCCAGTAAACACATGCATACACATCGTTCATTTTAAAGTAAATCAAGGCGAATTTTGATATGATCGAAAGTCATACACCAAAACGAGCATACCATATCCTGGCTTAATTCAATGGCTTAATAATAAAGACTAAAAAGATAATAGATACCAGAGCTTACTCTCACAACTGGTGCAGAAAGTAAAATGGCTGGGGGTGCTGTGCACTTAAAGGCCAAACAGAGTCATATTTGAATGCACCTGTCCAATGACAAAGTCCGATGTTGGCTACTAACAGCCAATTAAAAATAAGTATAAAACAAATATGAAGTGGTTAATATTTCGATAAACAGGTTGCTTTAAAACAAACAAGATTGTGTTTAAGGTACAAATAAAGATTTTTAAAAAATTCTAAAGTCCAAAAACCTTTGTTGTTTGGTTTATGTATTCATTAGGTTAACCAGGGTGGAGACGTGAATCTTGCAAGGGAACAGAATTTTTAGTCAAAGATAATCAAAGCACAATCTGGACTCTACCTTGAGGGTATAACAGATGGGCAATATATGTCTTTTTTATATTTTTAGTCCCAATTTTCCCATAAAAGTGTTTCATGGGAGCCAAGAAGTTCATTAATACCGGATTATTCGTACCAATATGAAAGGATACTTACTGTCGTTGTATAGGAAGACTATAGGCATGGGCCAGGAGCTATGTGCACAAAGTCGCGAATGCACGTTTTGGATAATAAATGCCCGATTAAACTTTTATTAAATAGTGGCACAGCTGCCTTTTTGAAGAGTCGTCTTCATCATCCCCAGTTGTTACTCCTAGGTTTTGGTAGTCACAGGGTATTTGTTGCCCTGAAACCAGCCGCCAGTCTGTTAGGTTTATCATAAACTGTTCACAAAGGCTAGAATAAATTTCACTCATGGGCCAGTTATGGGTGATTTAATTTTATTTATGACAGTCTTGTGTTGTATGTTTTCCTTCAAAGCTTGACAACGTCCTATATAAAATGCGCTCTTTTTCTAACCATAGTTTTTTGAAAGATTCTGCCCAAAACGAGTCATCTAACAGGCGGCTTTACCCAGCATATTCCCTCTTTTGGTAATATTTTCCGTCAGTCATTTTCTGCCGCTTAATCCTCACCATAATATTACTTGTCGTCAGTTAAGATTCCGAAAGCCCGCTAGAAATGTGGATGAAGCGTCAATTTTTTACATATTTTAAATGCATTCCTATTCGCACAACTCCCACAGATCATGCTGTGCTGGAGCCTTCAACTAATTTAAAGCATTTATCATTTTATTTTACTGCTTTCTTGCTATCCACCGCACCATAACAATTGCAAAAATTAAAATCACCCACCTTAATCTACTATTTGTTGATGTACTGGGCTGGTCTGTAGATTCTCAGGCTGTTAAATTTTTTGAATCATTTCTAATTTTGCAATGGGCTCAGCTAGGTATTAACAAACGTTCCAAGTATGCGTAAGCTTAGGTGGTACCTTGGCTACAGTTTATCTACCTACCTCCACTTGCCGTCTCGAGAGCAATTGATGGTTGTCTAAATGTGTACATGGCCATCATTTTCGGGGCTTCAAGCTTTTACCTTAGTAGTATGGACATCTGACAGATTTAGTAGTCTTTTAGCTCTTCCATACGTTACTCGTAAGTCCCACATTATGCTGAAATGGCTCATAGCAAGTTTGCACACGATTCGGTGCTTAGGATCTGTGCTAATGGAGTGCAAATCCTCTCTAAAAGAACTGCTTTTCTAATTCCCTTGATTAACAAGCAACTCTAAAAAGAACAGGAAAAACGCCTGTTGCAGATGGCTGAATGTGTGTGGGTTCACTGCAGAAGGAATCAAAAGGTTTTACAGTAGATGATTTTTAATTTCGGGTTGAATGCAAATAGAATGAACAAAAAGCGATAATGCAATATGCCTTTAAATGGAGAGGAGACGAAATCCAAACCTATATAACCTGTATGACTTGTATGTTTATCACAATTGTCTAAGTAAAGCCATTAAACTCCAACCAATACGTTTGTTTTACGAATGTGGTTGATATGGTAGAAGAGAGAAACCACCAATCCGTTACAATGCGACTTGGACGAAGCATAGGTAAACTTGTGGATGAAATTCTAAACTTTGTCTTGACAAAAGTCTAGCATTATAGTCTAAGAAGATAAAGTCTTCCTCATTTGGACTGATTTTAAGCAACCGACACTTGAAAAAGCGGTTGATCCATAAGATGCGCTGGTTGTAAAAAATTATCCAGCCTTTAAATCCAATCCCCCACATAAGTTGCCTTTTACAACTGTTTGACTTTTGCGATATACAGTTTTCTGTACTAACTTAAACTGCAACATAAACCATCACCAGTGCATTACATCCTTTTTCTAATGCAGAGTATTATCATTTTCCCTTACTTAGGTTTAAGGGCTATACAGACCCAATACGAAGGGAGCTGGTAAGTAAACGCGGTGGAAGCTAGCGGAAATGTTGTTCACTAGAAGTATGTGCATTAGTTTCTCCACATATTTATCATAGCAAGCTCCATCATCTCTTCAGGTCTAAATTTCACTTTAAAATCAGGTGTTCTATTATCTCAGACACAAAAAATGCACAAAAAAAATAAAAAGTTTTAAATTACGTTTTACTAACAAGTAACAATGGCTGTATTCCGATGAGTCAGATAGCCTCTTTTAAACATTATTGACTTGACACAGCTCTAATGAATTTCACCAACTGTAACCTAAAAGTCCTAAAATTGACTCTCTCTAGATCTTTAATTCCTCTGAATATTTTAGCAAAGTTTTCACCTCAGTTTTTAGTTAACCAGCATCTGATTTCGACCTTGACACCCTATCCAAAATACAAAACATTTGCACGAAAAATGGTTGTGGTATGATTGTCTTAAAAGCTTCAACGCCTAGAATTGAGATGCACATATGAATATTACTGCAAAGATTTTGGCAATCCTATACTTCCTGCACTTGCAGAAACTTTGCACATTATCAAAACCAAATAGACTGAGTTGTGAAGAGGTCAATAAAGAATTAATTGCTATGGGAGTAATAATAGAAAACACACCAGGAGGTATTTGAGCTTTAGATTTTATCAGAATCTTATCATGTATAGCTGCAGAGTTTTGTGCCTGGTTGGCTTCCTTAAAAGTTCAACGTGTTTAATATAAAAAAAATAATCGTGAAATCGTCACATGCCCCTAAAGGCGACTAACTTAGCAAGAATGGACGAATAGTTATTTTCTATTTTTTACTACGTATGAAAGCCTTGAAAGTATTTGTTCTGCATTTTTAGATTCAACCAGCCAAGATTCAAATATTTGCAGACGATCCTACGGCAATCAGGACTGCTGTTCCCAAGCTGTCAGGAATGAATTATTAAAACGCTCAGCTGAAGAGGTGAACTTGGGTTATCGATCGTACATCATATTTTGTAAAAAGGAAGCTAAGAACCTTTCGAAGAACCTAAAATGCAAGTAAATTTTGCTAGTAATTTATCTAACACCCATATTTATTAATGGTTCATTTGAAAGTCTAGTACAAGTGACAATTTCGAGACAAGGGGGTGAAATACCATAATTTTGAGTAAAGGTTGTCATTATTTGCTCAGATTTCATCGACTACAAGTTTGCCGCTGTCAGTGGCACGCTAACGGACCTAAAATGTCGAAATCGCTTGGCAGATGGGCCACCCAGATTCTATCTAGAATGTTTACGTAATGGTCGCGAGTTGGTTTCTGAGGTAATGGACAGTTTCTTTCGCTCCACTTCCATGCACAATGACACCTTCGATGGGGCTGCAGCCTTCCTTTTCAACCTCGTGCTCAGTCTTCGCATGGCTGGAGAATCCTCCCAAAATGTTTCCTCGTGAGATACTAATTTCATTTCCAATTATCTGACTTGTATACTTCACTTCTAGCACAAAAGTAATAGATATGGTGCCTATGGAGTCTTAAAGTTATTAGCACTCCCAAACTATTGCTTTAATACGACCTCAAAAGGGACTTGATGTCTCTAATGTTTCACATTCATATTCCTAGCTGCGCTTTTGATAACCACCCTCAATAAGTTCTCGATTTTGTGGCTACGCCTGTAGACAATCGTCTTTCTGACGCTCCGAATATAGCAGTCGTTTTTATAGCGACATAGATGGGATAGTAATTCTTGGTTTGTCATAACATGGTCTTTCTGGACGTGCACTATGCACCGTGGAGTATTTGTCCCCTTATTTTGTCACAGAGTAGGTAGACGTTGTGAGATCCTTTAAAGCTCCATTTAAATTCACGAAATGGAAAGGTAAGATTCAAGTAGACTGTAATCTAACAAATCCAATGTTTTATTTCTGAATTTTGCAGTAGCGTGTCTTAAGTAAAGGAGCAGAATCACCTCGGACTAAGTAGTTTCTAAGCAGTAAATGCTATATTAACGTCTACATTGATTATTTTATATTAATAAGCTACCATGTTTTGCTTACATCAAACTGGAAATGCTTTCTGATTCACTCAACCCATATTAATCGCATAAATAGCTCCTCATATTTGCAAGAAAGTAAACCTTGGCTCAGGATTCTGACCTAGATGGCAGTACCGATGCAAAAATGGCCTATTATGTTAAATGTTAGCCTTGGGGGTGCCACGCGGTATTTATATCACTACAAGTACTGCAATTTTGAACCATGACGACAGCATTGACAGAGTCGGCTCTTGTGAATCTCTAATTCAATATAAACGCAGTTATGTGAAGGTTGTAGGCCTCTGTCTTTTTGCTAGTAACTTGCATTAATGAATACCCGAAGCTGTTAGCAATGATAGGCCATAGAGGCCTTTCTCACATCTCAACTTGGATCTCCTTAAAGTGGAAGCGGAGTTCCCAGTGACTCCAAGTAGTGAGGTTGCAGATTCACTCAATACACATCAATGCATAGGCATTTAAAGTGACCTCAAATCAAACTCTGTAGCTTCCCACAGCGCATAACGTTACTTTTCTCTGCATGCAAATGGAATCATCTCCTGAAAGTTTCTCTTCCCACTAAAGTGATCCGACATTTTTACCAGGTCGTGTAGGAGCAACTAAAAATTTGTCAACTGCATGTTTTGTGATGTGAAGCAAATGGGCAGACACCTGATTGTCCCTTTCGTTGAAACCCCTCTGATCATGTCCTTGCCCAAAATTACCATCGTTATGAAAAGGCCCAATATCAGTTCTGTGGATTTATGCACAAAGGAGCATTTAATTCAGTTCCTATTTCAACCTCGTTTGTTTTCTGATGTGAAGCAGCTGGAGAAATGCCTGATTTTCTCCTTCGTGTAAATTCATCTGATCAAGTCCGCCGTTGTAAATAACCCCACGGTCAATTCCGTGAATTTATGAACAAAAAGGTATCCAATTTACACCCTCTTTCTTGAGTGAAATGTTTAAATTTTGATTATCTTTGAGGGTAACAAATCACTTTTTGACATGCTTTGAAACATGTTGTTGTGAAGAGGTGAAATGAGGGTTTAACGTGTGTGGAACATTTGATAAATCTTCGCTTGGTATTCCCTCTGCAAGTAACTTAGAGTAGAGGCATATTCACCATTCTTTGTCAACAGGAACAGCGTCTTTAGGTGTCTTCGTCAAATCACCCCTGAAGTCTGGCTAGAACTCTCTTCCACCATAATTGGGGGGCTGATGAGCTGGTCAGCCAACGAAAAGTCAGGTCACAGAGTCAGACGCTGGAATTGAGGGTACTGAGGAGCCCGTGGGGTAACAATTACCTTCCTGCTGTGTAGGTTTATTTGGTCACTCTCAAAGTACCTCGAAAATCTCCATAGAATAGGAAATATTTCCAGCAGTTGACACATTGCTGTTGAAAGGCAATGAGCGAGCATCAAAGCTTGCAGATTGATGAAGTGGTCACTATGGCTTGGAGGACGTTTCAAGTGTCTCACGCCTTGAATAAGCTCCTCCGTTCCTAACCCA